CAAGACATGTGGCATTGGTCAAAGAATAGACACATAGATTAATGGAACAGAATAGAGAGACTACAAATAGATCCACATAAATATAGTTAACTGATCTTTGACAAAGGAGCAGAGACAATAAAATGGAGCCAAGATAGTCTTTTCAACAAATGGTGCTGGAACAACTGGGCATCCACATATTAAAAAAATGAACCTATACACAGACCTTACTCCCTTCACAAACTTTAACTTAAAATGGATCAAAGAGCTAAATGTAAAATACAAAACAATGAAACTCCTAAATGATAACATAGGAGAAAACCTAGGTGACCTTGGGTATGGTGATGACTTTTTACATACAACACCAAAGTCTGGACCATGAAAGAAATAATTGGTAAGTTGGACTTCACTAAAATTAAACTTCTGTTCTGCAGAAGGCAATGTCAAGAGAATAAGAAGACCAGTTAGACTGGGAGAAAATATTTGCAAAAGACGCATCTGATAAAGGACTGTTATAACAAAATACGCAAAGAACTGTTAAGACCCAACAATAAGAAAGCAAACAGCTTGATTAAAAAATGAAAAGATGGTCCATATCATATGTCAGCAGGGAAATCCAAATTACAACAACGAGATGCGACTACACATCTATTAGAATGGCTAATATCCAGAACACTGAGACACCAAATGCTCTCGTGGATGTAGAATAAAAGGAACTCTCATTCATTGCTGGTGGGAATGCAAAATGGTACAGCCACTTTGGAAGAGAGTTTGACCGTTTCTTACAAACCAAACATACTATTACTATATGATTGAGCATTTGCATTCCTTGGTATTTACCCAAAGCAAGTGAAAACTTATGTCCACACAAAAATCTGCACATGGATGTTTATAGTGGCTTTATTCATAATGGCTCAACTTGGAAGCAACCAAAATGTGCTTTAGCAGGTGAATGGATAAATAAACTGTAGTGCATTCAGGCAATAGACTATTGTTCCATGCTAAAAAGAAATGAGCTATCAAGCCATGAAAAGATATAGAGGAAACTTAAATGCATATTACTAAGTGAAAGAAGCCACAAGCTACATATTGTATGATTCCAACTGTGTGACATTCTGGAAAGAGCAGAACTATGGAGACAGGAAACAAGTCAGTGGTTTCCAGGGGTTGGGGTAGGGGAAGGGAGGAATACGCAGAACACCGAGGATTTTTCACGGAGGATACTGTAAGGATCAATACACGTCATTATACATTTGTCCAAACCCAGAGAATGTACAACACCAAGAGTGAACCATAATGTAAACTATGGACTTTGGGTGATTATGATGTGTCAATCTAAGTTTATCAGTTGTAACAAATGTACAGCTCTGGTGGAGGATGTTGATAACAAGAGGAGGCTATACATTTATGAGGGCAGGAAGTATATTGGAAATCTCTGTGCCTTCCTCTGAATTTTGCTGTGAAACTAAAAACTCTAAAAAATTAAATTCTTAAAAAATTTTTTTCTTGTCCTTTTAATATCCACAGGATCAGTAGTGATGTCCTCTCTTTCATTTCTGACATTAATAATCGTGTACGTTTTCTCTTTTTCTTAGCATGGCTAGAGGCTTATCAACTCTATTGATCTTTTCAAAGAACCAACTTTTGGTTTTGTTGATTTTTCTCTATTAGTATCCTGTTTCAATTTAATTGATTTCTGCTCTAATTCTTATTTCTTTTCTTCTGTTTGCTTTAGTTTTATCTTTCTTTTCTTTCTCTAACTTCTTAAGGTGGAAGTTTAGATTATTGATTTTAGCTCTTTCTTCCCCTCTAATCTATGCATTTGATACCATAAATTTCCCTTTAAGCACTACTTTTAATGAATCTCATAAATTTTGATAAATTATATTTTTGTTATGATTTAATTAAGAATGTTTTTAAAATTTGAGACATTTTTTGATGCATGTGTTTCTTAGAAGTGTGTTGGTTAGTCTCCAAATATCTTGGGATTTTCCAGCTCCTTTTCAGTTATTGATTTCTAGTTTAATTCCACTGTTGTCCGAGAACATGCTTTGTATCCTTTAAAGTTTGTTAAGATGTGTTTAATGGTCCAAAATGTGGTCTATCTTAGTGAATGTTCCATGTGAGCTCGAGAACAATGTATAGTCTACTGTTGGATAAATTATTTTTATAAACATCAATTAGATCCAGTGGGTTGATGGTGCTGTTCATTTCAAATATATCACTACTGATTTTCTGCCTGCTGGATCTGTCAATTACTGATAGAGTAATATTGAAGTCTCCAATTATAATAGTGGATTTGACTATTACTCCTTGAAGTCCTACCAATTTTTGACTGACACATTTTAGCTTGTTTTTTTTAGGCCCATACACATTAAAGGTTGTCATGTCATCTCAGAGAATTGACCCCTTTATCATTATATAATGTCCCTTTAGCCCTGATAATTTTCCTTCTTTTGAAGTCAGCTTTGTCTCAAATTAATAAAGCTACTCCAGCTTTCTTTTGATTAGTGCTAGCATGCTATATCTTTCTCCATTACTTTTAAACTCTGTCTTTTTTAGTAAAGATTTTAAAATTTTTAATCTTTTTTCCCTAGCTTTATTGAGATATAATTGACATATAACATTGTATAAGTTTAAGGTGTACAATGTCATGACTTGATATGTGTATATATTGTGCAATGATTACCCCAATAAATTTAATTAACACATCTATCATCTCACATGACCACAATTTTTTTTACTGAGATGTAATGGACATATAACATTATATTAGTTTTAAGTGTACAACAGAATGATTTGATGTACAGTTGGCCCTCCATATTCTTGGGTTCTGCATCTATAGATTCAACCAACTGCAGATCGAAAGGCCTGTGATGCTTATGACTGTACCGAACACATACAGATTTTTCTATGGTCATTATTTCCTAACAACTGTTTACATAGCACTTACATTGTATGAGGTATTATAAGTAATTTAGAGATAATTTAAAGTACATGGGAAGATGTGTGTACGTTGTATGCAAATGCTATGCCATTTTATATGCAACTGGAGCATCTCTGGATTTTGGTACCCACGGGGTATGGGGGGGGGTCCTGGAACAAATACCCCTTAGGATACTGAGGGATGACTATATGTATATATTGCAAAATGATCACCATTATGAGTCTAGTTAACGTCCATCACCACGCACAGTTACAATTTGTTTTCTTGTAATGAGAACTTTTAAGATCCACTCTCAGTAACTTTCAAATATACATACAGTATTATTAATTATACATTATTATTATACATACAGTATTATAAATATACATACAGTATTATTACATTTCCAGGATTTGCTTATCATAAGTGGAAGTTTGTACCTTTTGACGACCTTCACTCAATTCGCCCAAATCCTGTCCCCACCACACTACAACCACCAATCTGTTCTCTGTATCTATGAGTTGTTTTTATCTTTTTAGATTCCAAATGTAAGTGAAATCATACAGTATTTGTTTTTCTGTGTCTGACATTTCACTTGGCTTAACGACCTAAGACCCAACCATGTTTGCAAATGGCAAGATTTCCTTCTTTTTATGTCTTAGTAATATTCAATTATATATATACACCACATTTCTTTACCTGTTCGCACACTGATGCACGCTTAGGTCCTTTCCATTGTCAATGAAAATAATCCATAACCAATCTATAAATGAAAATTTGGGAGAGTTTATTCTGAGCTAGAATGAGAGGACCATGGCCCAGGAGAGTCCTTCCACAAAGGAACGGAGCACTCCAAAGAAGCGGGGGTATACAGGATGGTTATATACCCTCAAAGAGGGTGTTTCACATATGATTGAAATGTCCCTCTTACAATAGTCACAAGATTGCCCTGTCGGCACAGCACTTGATGGACACAGCAGGTTGTGGGTCTGCTATCTCCATGGGCGCAGCAGGAGGCAAGTCTATTGTCTCGAGCTGGGTGGTCAGAGGTGAGCACAGCAATCAGTTCCTAGCCTAAGGAAAGATGCTGCATCATTAAGGAAACGCCAATGTTGGGGGGGGGGGGGCAGGGAAGTTGCACCTTTATCTCAAGGGCCTTTGTTCTTGCCATAGGAAATGTCTAAAGCAGATATACAATGCATGCTCAACGGCCACAGTCAGGCCTTTTTGGAAAAAGAAGGTCAGGCTGAATTAGGTTTACACCAAATGGCTTCCTCATATACTCCAATATCCTATTGCTTGCCATTTCTATTTGTCACCATGTTTTAGCCATTGTGAACATGGGGGTGCAGTTATCTCTTTGGAGACACTCATTCCAGCTTTTTTCTTTCCACCATTGTTTTTCTTTTTCAATTTCATTGTTTTCTGCTCTTTACCATTTCCTTCTTCTTGCTTTGGGTTTTTCCTTCTTTTCTAGTTTATTGAGGTGGGAGCTTAGGTTATTTGAGAATTTTCTTCTTTTCTAATGTAAACCTTTAGTGGTATAAAACCTCCTCTTACCACTGTTTTAGCTGCAACTTACAAATTTTGATACGCTGTGTTTTCATTTTCACTCACTTAAATGTGTTTTTAAAATTCCCCTGAGACTTCTTTGACGCGTGGATTACTTAGACCTGCGTTGTTTAACTCCGGGCGTTAACTTCCCGCTGTCTCTCTGCTACCGACTTCTGGTTTGGTTCTAAGCGTCTAGAGCCCCTACGCGTGTGATTCTCAGTTCTGTGAACTTGGATGAGATGCGATGTAGCCCCGGGTTCAGGCGGATCTTGGAAAACGCGCGCGGGCGCGCGAACAGAGCGGGTCCTGAGGGGAGTAGCCGCCCTCGCCGTCCGGGTTCGCGGGAGCCGGGAGAGGCCTGTGAGCGGGCGGGACAACGGCCCGGGTCGTTCAGGGCTTAGTCCCAGGGAGCACGTCTTCCCGCCGCTTGTCTTCCCGACAACTCAGCGAACGGCCCCCACGTCACCTCAACATGGCCGCGCGCAGGCCGAGGGCCCGCAGGGCGCCGCCATGTTGGCGCCAGTGACGGCCTCCGGGGCGGGGCGGGGCCGGGCGAGGTTCGGCGGAGCTCGGTGCTGAGCGCGCGACCTCCGGCCTGAGGCCGCTGCTGAGCATGCGCAACCCAGGCGGCGCCGGCCGGGGTCCGCGGCCACCGGAGGGATCGAGAAAGAGGAAGTGGGTCGTTTCGGTTCTGTGACCGTAGTCACCGCTGTCAGGGAGCGCGGGTGAGCGGCAGGTGAGTGCGGCCATGGGCGCGTCCGGGCTGAGTGAAGAAGCGTCTCTGAGGTGCGTGACGAGCCGTCGGGTCAGTGACGGGGGCGGTCATGGATGCAACGATGGGGTCGATGTGGTCTTGATGGTGGATCCGCGGGCAGAGAGGTGGGGTCGGTGGGGTCTTGGTGGTGGATCGGAGGGCGGAGACATGGGTCTGTGGCGTCTTGATGGTGGATCCGTGGAAAGAGATATGGAGTCTGTGGGGTCTTGATAGTGGATCCGCGGACGGAAAGATGGGGTTCGTGTGGTCTTTGATGGTGGATCGGAGGATGGAGAGGTGGGCCCGTGGGGTCTTGGTGGTGGATCTCCGGAAGGAGATAATGGGGTGTGTGGGTTCTTGATGGTGGATCCATGGAAAGAGATGTGGGGTCTGTGGGGTCCGTCGGGGAGGATAGCTGTGGGGTCTGTAATGATGGATTTGAGGGGTGGGTGATGCTGTATCTTTATTGATTTCGTCTCTCTTTTATGCTTACTGGTTTGTTTCTATGTCTGATTTATCATCATCATTTGTTTTGCTAGAGATTTAAAAAATACAATGCCTTAGGGTTGCATATATTTCCATTTAGCTTATTTTGATTCCTTCTGTATCCAGATTAGTAGCTACTTTGTCATTCCTAATATAATGTTTATGTCATTCGTCTTTCTCTTTTTTATTGTCAGACATCTTAAGGTTTATTTTTTTTGACCATTTTGAGGTACCGGTTGTGTTTATACTCCCTACTCTTTTTATGTTAATTTTCTCTTTTCCTTTTTAGATACTGTCCTTGATACTGTTTCCTTTTGATGTAAATTGTCATTCTTTCCCTTATTTTCCCAGTTTTATACTGGATACATTTAGGGGTATAAAGTTTTCTCTAAATACATCTTTATCTATGAAATATATAAATTTCAACTTGATGTTCCACTTTGATCCTGAGTTATGTAGGAGAATTTCCTCATTTTCCCACTATTAAGATATGTTCTAATTGTTTAATTTTAATTTTATTGTATTTTCATAAAATGTGGCTTGCAAAGTCTCAACTTTTAAAAATTTATCAAGAGTTTCTTTGAAGCCAAGTTGCACAGTGAACTTTGTTCAATGGATATAAGAGAAAGTATATTTTCTGTTTGTATGGTTCAAAGTTGTCTTTATGTATATTAATGTAGGCTGCTTGTATTTTTCAAGTCTTCTTTCTCTTTCCTACTTGTACTCTACTTGATTCATCATATTCTGAAAGAGATATAATAATAATCTGTCACTGACAGTTCTCTTTGTAGTTCTATGTGCTTTTTTGCTAGGTTGATTTGTGTGTTTGGGGCAGAGGCATACATACACCTAAGGATTAATGCATTTTGCATAATTTTTTCATTTATTGGTGCTATTATTAAAGGATTCCTCTTTTCAACAAAAATGCACTTTTAACCTTGATTTCACTTTGATGTTTATATTGCGATCCCCGCTTTCACTTTTTTTGCTTTTGGATGATGTATCTTTGCCCAGGGCTTTATTTTATATTCCTGTTTGTCTCATTGTTTAGGTTAACTACTAGTAAATAATAGATACATTTTGGTTTTTTCAAATCCAACCTATAGTCTGTGTTTGTCAATAGGATAATTTTCCCTCTTCAATTTAGTGGAATAATGATTTATCTGACTTATGTCTTCCATTTTAGTGTTTACTATTTATTTTAGTTCATTATTTTCTGCTTTTTCTTTTTCGTGGTTTCATTGGATTGATGAAATTTCTGTTCGTTATTTCCATTCTATATCCAATATAACCTCTGTTTTTTCCTGAGATATTTAGAAATGTTTTGTCATAGGACATTATTAATTTTCCCTTTAATGGCCTCCATATCACATCATCGTTGTCCCTTTTTATATTTATATATCTCTTGCAAAAATTATTCCCGAACAGTATTTTTCTATTTGAGATTTATCATGTGATTCATTTTACATTTATTTGGAATACTGTTTTAGATATTTTCCACAGATAAAGATAGAGATACTTTGTAAGTGCTTTTATTTCTGAAAATGTCTTTCTCTGGCCCTAACAGAGAAGTGGTCTTTTAGATGCTATTTCTGATACCATTCAGCTTTCATTGAGCAGATGAGGCATCTTGTTTCTTAACTTTCTCAGTAAATAATGTGTTCTTTCACACATGCTTTGGATTTACAAGTGTTTTAGATTTTTAAATTTATGTTTACAATTCAAGAATATCCCTAGATTTGTTCATTGGGTTCCTTCCTCCGTGTGTGTGTGTGTGTGTGTGTGTGTGTGTGTGTAACTTTGTGGGAAGGGCTAATGGTGCAGGCCTAGGGGTGTGAGTGATGGAGTTGTGTGTGAGTGCTTTCTCAGGGCCCGTTGCAGGTACAGGTGTGTTTGGGATTGGGGCTCTTGCGATTACTGATGGAGATGCACTGTGGGTAGTGGTAAAGGTGTGGAGGCCAGTAATGGAGGTATGCGATATTGTGATATAATGAGAAATATATATTTTGGTCTTTGTCCATGGTTCCCAGCACATAGTTCCTAAAACCTTTGTAATTTCTTAAGTGAGAAGAGCTATAAGGGCATCTTTTGTTCCTGGTTCCTGAGATAGCTCCCGACGGATAAAAGTGAAATAGGTGTTTTTCGCTTTTCATAATAAGTTCCTTTCAACCAGACCTGAGTTTATGTTAATGAAGTGATTATTGGAAAGCCCTTAGGTAACCACTGGATCGGGGCTGGTTGCCAGGGCAACCAACCAAATGATTAGAGGGTTGGAACTTGAAACCCACCCCCTGGCTGGAGGTTGAATCAATCACCAATGGCCAATTATTTAATCAATCATCCGTATGTAATGAAGCCTCCATAAAACCCCAAAAGGATGGAATTTGGAGAGCCTCTGGATTGAGCACATGGAGCTGCTGGGAGAGTGGTCCATCCCTTCTCAAATACCTTGCCCTATGCATCTCTCTCATCTAGCTGTTCCTAATTTGTATTCTTTTATAACACATTGGTAATCTAATAATAATAAGTAAAATGTTTTCCTGAGTTCTGAGAGCTGCTCTAGCAGATTAATGGAGCCGGCGAACAAGGTCCTGTGATCCTCTTATTTGTGACTGGTTGGTCAGAAGCATAAGTAACAACCTGGACTTGTGATTAGCATCAGAAGATGGGATGGAGCAGTTTTGTGGGACTAAGCCCTTAACCTGTGTGATCTGATGCTAAGTCCAATAGTTGGGTCAGAATTGAGTAAAACTGTAGGACACCCAGCTGGTGTTGCAGAATTACTTGTTGTGGGGACCCTTTCTCCCTTCCCCCCAGCACACAGCACACGTTTGGTAACCAGAAGTGTTGAGAGTAGAGGAAACAGGCAAGAGAAGTTTTTCCTTGGCAGGGCATGGGCTTGATTAGTGGAGAACCAGGACTGTCAGAGCAGAGGTATTGGAGGCTTTGTCTCCAGGGACTGTAGAATGAGTGACTTGGGGCCTGTGGGCAGCAGCACGTGGAAACCAGTGATTCTGAGGCATGAGTAATGGCTCTTGGGGGGAGGTCAGTGTGTAGCAGTTGCCAGTTGTAGCAGATTGAGGAGTGGAGTGAGGAATTAGGTGCCCGAGTTGTTGCTGACTTGAAGGGCCTGTGAAGTCAGGTGATATTTGATACAGTAATTGCATTCTCTGTGGATTACTGGTTTTGTAATAATAGCGATAGCTAATATTTAATGAGTGCTTATGTGTCACACATGGGCTGAGTGCTTTTCAAGTTTTATAAAATAGATTTGTTTATCTAAAAAGTGTAAAGATGAGGAAACTGAGACTGAAGGTGGAAGAGTTGGGGTTCAAGTGTACATCGACTTGGCTCACTCCTTGTATCTGCCCCGTGCCACCCTGTTCCGTACTGTTCTGTGCACTCTTGGGAGGATGGCTGAGTGGCTGTCACTGTGGTGCTCTCTCTGCAGGATCCCTTTGTTTCCACAGAGCCCTGAGATCACTCCACCTAGTTGAGCCCTTCAGCATCTCTTTTCAGACTCCAGCCCACCTTGGCCCAGTATTGCTGGCAATCTTTGCATCTTCTCTCAGCTTAGGGGTCCTGGGAAGATTGGAGTTCTAAGATATACAGAGGTGAGGACTGTTGTGCACACACCAGCCAAGGAGAGCTTGTCCCTTGGGCCCAGACCCAGCTCATATTCTGGCTCTGCAGGAATGTGACAGCTCCTGTGATGGGGAGAGTGAGTCCCAGAAGCAGGAATTTTCTGGGAGCTGGACCTGCCTCACCCTTTTAACAAAGCACAAGGTGAACAGTGTACCCCGAGACTGTTTCCTATAGTGGGAGAGATTTTATTTTCAAGTTTTTATTATAGAAAATTTCACCTATTCCTTCCCACTTACTTTGTTTGGGAGAGAATATTCTAAAACACATCTTGAATACCATATCATTTCACCCACAGATACTCAGTGTGCAAGTACAACGGATGTGGACAATGTTTTTTTTTACATAGCCACCATGGCATTACCCACCTAATAAAAGTTACAGTAACTCCCTAATATCATCTGATACTCAATCTATAGTCAGATTTCTCTGATTACCTAAAAAACAACTTTTTAAACTTTTAACTATGAAAATTTCAAAAATACAAAAGTAGAGCAAATAGTATAATGAATCCTCATATACCCCTTAGTCAACTTCCACAATTATCACTCATCCCCAGTTTGTTTGTCATCTGTACTTTCCCTTCTCCCACATTTTTTCTCATCTGATGGTTTATTTTGAAGAAAATTTCAAGCATTGTGTCATTTCATCCATAAATATTTCATTATATAAATGTAAAAGTAAGTGTTTGTAATAAAAATAGCCACAGTGCAGGGCCAGCCCAGTCGTGTAGTGGTTAAGCTTGTATGCTTCGCTTCAGTGGCCCAGGGTTTGTGGGTTCAGATCCTGGGTGTGGACCTAGCACTGCTCATCAAGCCATGCTGTGGTGGCATCCTACATTATAAAGTAGAGGAAGACAGACATGGATGTTAGCTCAGGGCCAATCTTCCTAACCAAAAAAAAAAAAAAAAAAAGCCACTGTGCTATTATACACCTAAAAAAATTACAGTACATTTTGAAATACCATTTTAGGTGGGTTAGATTGGTAGGTAGATTTCAAGACTTGATCAGATTCAAGTTCCTTTTTTGCTTTTGGGGGCAAGACTACTTCCCAGGTGGTATTGTATACTTCATCAGGAGGCACATACTGTCTGGTTGTCGCTTTCTTTGATGGAGCAGCCATTGATGATTGTTTCCTAGATCCACTATTTTGTTAAGGGTGCAAAATGGACATTTCCATTTCTACCATTCCTTCACTTATTAGATGGAATAATTATGTAAAGAGAAAAGGAAACTCCTTTATGAAGTGTCTGGTTACCCTAAGGTATAGCTATGTAGGAGAGGCCTCAGAAATGCTTGACTTTTTTTTGCAAGTTTCAAAAATAATGATTTGATGCCCTAACACTTTCCAAAGGTCCTAGAAATGTTTACTGTCTTGATCTGGATGGCAAATGCACAGATGTGGAAAATAGGAAGAAATGCTATAATATTTATGTACTTTGTATAAGTTATACCACAATAAAAAAATTAACAAAGAAGTAACCAAAAATGTTGTTTGTATTAGAAAAGTATATTTAATAGGAATGTTTCTAATATGAAAGTTCAAAACAAAAGTAAATTTTAAAAGTCCTTCATGAAAAAATGTTGGGGAGGACAGGTCTAGGGTAAAAGGGATACAATGGCCAATGTGTAGCCTTGATTGGAACCTGCTTCTGAACCAAACAGCAAGAAAAAGTGTTTCTGAGATAATTGGGGAATTTTGAATATGAGCTGAATATTGAAATGATAGAATTACTATTAATTCTCTAAATGATAGAAATTTACTCTAAATGATAGAATTTACTATTAATTTTCTCAGGCATGATAATGATCTTTTAGGAGATTTTTGTGATGTATTTAGGCATGAAGTGTCATGACATCTGCAACTTCCAAATGGTTCAGCAAAAAAAGTGTATATGTATAATATATGTATGAGTTTACATGTGATTGTGTGTGTATAGCAAGATTAGGCAAATATGGCAAAATACTAATTGTTGAAATTAGGTGGAGGCTATATGTGTGTTTCTTGTACTAATCATTCAACTCTTTCTGTTCGAAAACTCATTAGAAAATTGGAAAACAATGGCCTCGTCAGTAAGAGACTTGGCTCAGGTCTTACAGTTTGTTATTAGCTAGAACCAAACACACTTACTACATTGTAGCCAAAACAAAATTTCCACTGAAAGTTTCATTTTAAGAACTCTAAGCAAAGGAGAACAGTGAAAAAGCTAGAAAGCTCCCTTTTTGGTCTTTCCTGTGAATATTCTCACTACTTGGGATGGGCTGGTCACAGAAACTCAGAGCAACATCATTATATTCTTTAAAAGTGGTTACTTTGTTTTTTACTAACAAATGTGAATACAAACATCAAAATTTTACCATCACCCAAATATTATATCTACTAACATGTTAGTATATTTCCTTCCAGATAATTTTCTCCGTGTATGTGCGTGAATGCATTTGCATATGTGTATATGCGTGTATGTGTACATGTGTACATACACACATATTATTCAATGAAAATGGAATCATTCTGCTTGGTACATCTTTTTATTTTTACTTGGCATTTTAACATATTTTTCTACAGTAGTTTAACTTTACATAATATTATGTCCCTTGGATGTCCTATAAAGTATTTAAGCAGTCCACAGTTACTGGGTATCAAGATGGTTTAGCCCTATTTTTGTTATTCACTATTCTGTGGTGAAACTCCTGCATTTAAGTCTTTGTGCAGTGCAGGGTGATTTTTTGTGATGCAGTTCTAGAAGTAAGCTTTTGAGTCAGGTGCATGGACACTAACTGATGTGTGTGTCCATGTTGACAGTGGCACACTTCCTTCTCTCATCTGTCTCTCTGTCCCTCTGTTTTGTCAGTTCACTGCCCCCTTCCCAGAAGAGCCAGAAATGACCAAGTCCCTGGTGAGTACTTATTTGTTTATATATTTATTTGTTTCTTTATTTTCTAGTGGATTTTAGGAAGGATTTAATTACCCATGTAGTAAGATGGACAAGTAAGAATAAATAAAAACCAAGATCAGAGAAAATAAGGAAGAGACTATCAATTCCAAGTCAAACTTGGAAAATAGAGATATGTGAGTTGTGTGGTTTCACAAAGTTATGAACTTTGAACTGTAGAATTGTCTCTGATCTTCCTGAAAGGCATGGAAATGAGATCCATGGTTTATATTGTTGACAGATAACTTATTTGATCTATAATTTCTTGGTTCCTGATGTTTGAGAAAATCTTTGGTAGATCTTCAGAGGGATGGAGACAGGACAGTGTCTTCAGCAACAGCCCTGTTGAAGTGCACTAACAGGTTTTCTGTTGTTGTCTTAGAAAGCAGTGCTTCTCACACTTGTACGTGACTTCAGAATCTGATTTAGTAGGGCTGGGTTCTCATGGATGTCAATGCTGCCCGTCCAAGGACCACCCTGTGAAGCACAGTTTTGAGGCTTTATTAGGAATGGGTGTTGAATTTTGTCAGATGCTTTTTCTGTGTCAGTCGACATGGTTGTGTTATTTTGCTTCTTTAGCCTGTTGCTATGGTAGATTTTCAGATTTTCAGATATTGAGCCAGCCTTGCAACCCCTGAAAAAACCCCACTTGGTCATGGCATACATATATTTCTTTTTACATATTTGTATTTGTTAATATTTTCTTAAGGATTTTTGTATCATATTTGTGAGAGATATTTATCTATTTTTTCTTTCATTATTACTATGTACGGATGAAAGCCCCAACTCTCCACTTGGCTTTTTCCCACATCACCCCTCTGGAGAGTGAAGGGGCACCTCTCTTCAGCCAGGCAAGTGTGAGAGTCTAGGCTATCCCTGGGGTCTTTTCTCATGGGCCTGGGAGCAGGCCCAAAGGTTTCTGTTTGTTCAATCTGTTGTGTTTGGCTGAAGTATGTTTTCTCTAAAAGTTTTCTCTCTTTCTAGGTTGCCCCTTTCCTGGTCTTTTAGCTAGAGAGAGCAGCCCTCTCTGTGCATTTTTCTGTGTGCACTTATTGGTGTTTCTGGGTTGCAGTCTTTTCCAGCTCCTTGTTCAGAGCCGAATGAGGCAGCAGAGTTCAGGGAACTCATGCTGTGGAATTCCTTGGTTTCTGGGGTCCCTGGCCAGTTTGCCTTTTTCTCCTGTGACTTCAGAGTCTTCTTATGTTTATTTTATGGATAACGTCTATGGTTTGTGGATGTTCTGAGTGAGACGAATAGGGACAAGTGCATCTACTCCATCTTCCCAGAATTGGAAGTCACCGTATTGCTTTTTTAAGGACGACTTATTTATATATTAAGTGTAGTCTTATATATATATATATATATATATTTCAATTATGTTTACCTCTTTGTTCTTTGCATTTTAACTTTTAAAAGTAAGTATTTAGTTTTAGTATCATGGAAGTTAAACTTGTATTTACTTATATAGTTCTTTGAGGCTTCATAGGAAAAAACAGCTGTCATCTACTCCCTTCCCCTCAAATTCCAACTTATCAAAACTTATCTCCCTGAGCTCAGTTGAACTGATTCTTTTTGTATTTATTTTCATATGTCTGAATAACACGTTTATATGGGTGCCTCTTGGCTTTCAATTTTAGGTATTATCTACTGACTTACCACAATGGAAAATAAAGATTTAAGTCTCTTTCAGACGCTTAGGTCCTCAACACTCACATGCGCATTTCTTATGTCCCCTCCTTCTAGTATAGGTATATCATAATTTTGGGTAAATCAATAGAGTGTGTTTATTATGATGATTATTTTAATTATATTTACAGCTGAACCGTTTACCTTTTGTGCACTACTTCTTGTTTTACCTGGAATTAATAACTGGTTTAATCACTTGTTTCATTTTCTGTATACATATCACTAATTCAACTCCACATTCTTCCCAGGTGTATAAATGTCTTCTCAGTATGTCAAAATATGTTAGATGATAATAGCCCCGTAACCACAAACATTAATATAATGCTTACTGTATGCCAGGCACCATAAGCTCTCTCTCTCTGTTAACTAATTTAATTACAGCCTCTGTGAGGTATCTATAATCATTATCTGCATTTCACAAAGGAGGAAACAGATCCACAGAGAGCTTAGGTGACTTGCCCAAGATCACGCTGCCAGTAAATGGTGAAGCCAGGAGTGAAACCCAGGAAGTTTGGCTCCAGAAAGTAGGCTATTCATTTCAGCTCTAAAGAAACTTCTTATAGTCTTCACTCGGCTTGGTTTCTCTCTATTTGATACTATTTATTGACTTGGGAATTCCCCTTGGCATGGTACTAGGAATTCCTTTCATGTCTCTCAAGTGTTAGATCTCTTGTTTTCTGTCTCTTTCTTAATTTATGCTTTTCATTTTTAGAGCATATCATCCAGTAGATCTCTAGAAAAAGTGTGTGGGAAGCAGATTTTTTGAGACCTTGCACATCTTGAAATGTCTTTATTTTACCCTCAGTAACTTCATAGCTTGGTTGGGTGTATAATTCTAGATTGTAAATCATTTTTACTCAGAATTTTGAAGTCATTCTTTTTTACTTCAACCATCGCGTTTTCTGTTACTGGATGTTGTAGGCAAAATAATGGCTCACAAAGATGTCCATGTCCTAATGCCTGGAACCTGTGAGTCTGTCACCTCACATGACAAAGGGGACTTGCAGGTAGGATTGAGTTAAGGATCTTGAGATGGGGAGATGATCCTGGATTACCTGAGTGAGCTCAGTGTGATCACAAGGGTCCTTATAAATGAAAGACAGAAGCAGCAGAGTCAGAAACAGGGACAGATTTGAAGCTGCTACCCTGTTGGCTTTGAAGATAGAGGAAGGGGCCATGAGCCTCCAGATGCTGGATAAGGCAGGGACGTAGATTCTCCTACAGAGCCTCTGGAAGGAATGCAGCCCTGCCCACACCTCGATTTTAGCCCAGTAAGACCCATTTTGAACTTCTGACTTCCAGAACTGTAAGATAATAAATTTGTGTTATTTTAAGTTTGTGGTAATTTGTTACAGCAGTAATAGGAAACTTATAGACTTTGATACCCAGAAGTGGGGTGCTGATATAACAAATACCTAGAAATGTGGAAGTAGCTTTGGAATTTGGTAATGGGTAGAAACTAAGAATTTTGAAGCACATGATAGCAAGAGCCTTGATTTCCTTGAGCCTGGTAGTAGAAATATGGATGTTAACCACTCTGCTAGAGGACTCAGAAGGAAGTCTGAGGAGCGTAGTAGAAAAAGCTCTGCATTGTTTTAGAGAATACCTAAATTATTGCAAACAGACTATTGATAGAAATATGGATGTTAAAGGTACAACTGGTAAAGACTCAGAAGGAAGTGGGGAACGTGTTACTGAAGAGGGCATCCCTGTCACACAGTGGCAGAAAGCTTAGCTGAATTTCTTCCCGTGGTTATGTGGAAAGCTTGTCAATGATGAACTTGGATTTTTCTCTAAGGAGATTTCTGAGCAGCGGCTTGAATATGCAGCCTGGTTTCTTCTTCCTGCATGTAGTAAAATGTGAGAGTTAAGACATAGATGGAGAGAAGAACTGTTGAGCAAAAAGGAACTAGACTTGAAGATTTGGGAAATTTTAGGCTATCAAGATACCAAAAGATGCTAAAATTAGTTTCACTGTCAGAAAAGTGTGCTCTTGAGAGAAAGCAAAGGGTGTGGATGGATGCTTTATGTATTTTTCTAGGTTTTTAGGTAATTAGCAGGAGGAATAGCGTGAAATGCACTTACTGTATTTTTTTTTAGTACTGGAAGTCTGAATCTTTGCTTTTAACTTGAATATTTAGTCTATTTACATTTAATGTAATTACTGATATATTTGAATTTATATATACCACCTTACTATTAGTTTTATATTTGAACTGTCTGTTTAATATTATTTTTCCATTCCTTTCCTGACCTTCTTTTAGATTACTGAAAATTTTATTTTTTCCTTTGTTAACTTGTCCATTATATATTCTTTTATTGTTACCCAGATATTACAATATCCATCTTTAACTCAGTATTATTTTACCTCTTCTCAATAATTCTAGGATACTAAAACACCTTAATTCCATTTACTGCCTCTTACTTTTACATTATTATTTTTATCCATTTAAATTCTACGTATGTTTTAAACTTCACAAGATATTACTGTTTTGCATAGTCAGTATTTACAGTTTTTTAAAGTAGGATTTGAGGAGCTTCTTGAATGTTTGGGTTGGTGTCATTTACCATTACCTCTTCAAATATTGTTTCTGCCCCATATTCTCCCTTTTATCTTCTCAGACTCCAGTATGTTACTCCTTTTCACTGTGTCATACATGTGACATGTCCCATACTCTTGTGTTTATTTTCATTAAAAAAAATCTCTGTGCTTCAGTTTGGATATTTTCCATTTGCTTGTCTTCCATTTCAGTAATTCCATATTCTGCTGTTAACCCTATCTCAGTTCTTAATTTTAGATAGTGAATTTTTCAATTTTTGAATTTTCATTTGATTCTTTAGTATAAATTCCACTTGTTTAATGAAATTGTCCTTCTTTTATCTAACTCCAGTTCCCTGTAGGACTGTTTCTATTGAATATATTTTTTCTCTAGTTTTGGATATTTGGCCCTGTCTTTTGGTGTGCATATAATTTTTTTTTTATTGTGTCAAACGGAGTGTAAAGCATTGTAGAGGATCTGGATGATGATATCTTTCCCAACAGAGGATTCATCTTTCCATTTCTTAGCAGATAGAGTGGAGGATGAACACCTTTATCCATTCAGGCACTGTTGAGTTGACTCAGGGCTACGTTGAGGCCCTAATAAGACTCAGTCTGCCTCTGGTTCACCCTGTCCATCCAGAATTTTCTGCTGAGAGCCCAGTTTGTCCTCTGTGGATAGTCCTCCTGCTTTATGCCCAACTCTGTTTTCTTACCAGACTACTAAAATTTTGCTTTGCTTTTCAGAGGCTATCTGTGTAAGTTTTTAGTCTTCTGCCCACACAGCCCTAGAATTCTGCAGATGTCGTGAGGGGAAAACTTGCTGTGTGTTTGAGTTCCCCTTGTTTCTCTGTCACCCAGCTGCAGCCTTCTGCTGGTTCAAAGCTGGATTCTCACCTTTTACCCACAAACAGAATTGGTGAATACTCCCAGTGTAAAAGCGGCTGCAGAAGTTAGCTTAAATCTTCAGTGTTCTCTCCAGAGTCTTAGTCCCTAACAGCTTTCCAGTGCTTTCAAATGGATGATTTCACTATTTCATCTGGCGTTTATAGTTATTCTTGCGAGAAACGTTGGACTGCCACAAGCTATTGTGGCCAATTCAGAAATTGCAGTACCTCAAAAGAGCCCCCTTCACATACCATACGGTTCGCCCATTTAAAGTGTACATTCAATGATTTTTAGTATGTTCAGAGTCGTGCAACCATCATCACAGTTTTAAAACATTTTCTTTGCCCTTCCACCTCCAAATTCGTACCTTTTAGCTGTCACCCCCTGATCCTTTCATTGCTCCTTGCCTTAGGCAACCACTAATCCTCTTCTTCTGTTTTTTTGGTGAGGAAGATTGGCCCTGAGCTAACATCTGTTGCCAATCTTCCTCTTTTTGCTTGAGGAAGATTGTTGCTGAGCTGACATCTGTGCCAGTCCTCCTCTATTTGTACGTACGATGCCATCAGCATGGCTTGATGAATGTGTGTAGGTCTGTGCCCAGGATCCAAACCCACAAACTCTGGACCACTAAGGCAGAGTACATGAACTTAACCACTATGCCACCAGGCCAGCCCCTAATCTTCTTTCTGTCTCAATAGTTTTGTCTCTTGTGGACATTTCATATAAATGGAATCGTACAATATGTGGCCTTTTGTGACTGACTTCTTTCACTTAGCATGTTTTCAAAATTCATTTACACTGTAGCGTGTATCTGTACTTAATTCCTTTTTATGGCAAAATAATATTGTATTTTATGGGTATACTGTATTATTTTGTTGTTGTTGAGAAACATTTGCCCTGCGCTAACATCTGTGCCAGTCTTCCTCTGTTTTGTACATGAGTCACCACCACAGCATGGCTAACAAGTGCACAGCATGGCTAACAAGTGGTATAGGTCTGTGCCTAGGATCCAAACCTGTGAACACAGCAGCTGAAGTGGAATGCACTGAACTTAACCACTACACCACAGGGCTGCCCCATACCACATGTTTTAATCCATCATTAGTTGACAGACAGTTGGGTTTCTATTTTTGACTATTATGAATATTGCTACTATGAACATTCATGTATAAATTTTATGTGGATAAGTGTTTTCGTTTCTGTTGGGCATATACCCAGAAGTGGAACTATTGGGTCATTTTGTAACTCTTATGTTTAACCTTTTGAGGAATTGCCAGATTGTTTTACTAAGTGGCTGCACCATTTTGCATTCCCACCATCATTGTATGAGGGTTCCAGTTTCTCCACTTCCTCACTAACGCTTATCTTTTTTATTGTAGCCATCCTAGTAGGTCTATTTCCCTGATGACTAATGATAGCGAACATTTTTTTGATTATAGTCATCTTAGTGAATTTAAAGGGGTATCTCTTTGTGATGTGAATTTCCATATCCCTTATGGCTAAAGATATTAAGGATTTTTTCAAGTGCTTTTTGGCTGTTTGTATATCTTCTTTGGAGTAATTCATATCCTTCCCCCATTTTAATTGGATAATTTGTCTTTTTATTGAGTTGTGGGGGTTCTTTATATGTTCTAGATATAAGGCCCTTAGCACGTAAATACTTTGCAGAAATTTTCTCCCAGTCTTCGGGTTGTCTTTTTCACTTTCTTGATTGTATCTTTCTAAGCACAAAGTTTTTAATTTTGATGAAGTCCCATTTATCTGTTTTTTCTTTGGTTGCTTGTGCTTTTGATTTCATATTTAAGAAATCATTGCCAAATCCAGCATGACAAGATTTAAGTTTTGGCTAAACATAAGAATATTTATGCCTTTGGTCCATTGTGAGTTAATTTTTTTATATAGTGTGAGGTAGGCGTCCAACTTCATTCTTTTGCATGTAGATATCCACGTGTCCCACTACCATTTGTTGAAAAGACTGTTTTACTGTTTTGGCACCCATGTTCATCAATTGACCATAAGCATGTGGGTTTATTTCTGTATTCTTGATTACATTCCATTGACCTATGTGGCTATCCTTACGCCAGTGCCACATTGTTTTGAAAAAAGAGCCTATTTTGATTACCTTTTTAAAAGAAGGAATTGATTTACTCTGGGTTGTTGAGTGCAAAATGAATGGCAGAGTATATATATATATTTTTAAGTAAAGTATTAATGAAATATGGCATGCATAGAAAAGAAAGTACAAATCATGTTTATACAGCTTGTTGAAGTTTTACGGCTTATCCCTTTGTAACCAGCACACAGATAAAAACAAAACAAAAAACTGGAATATTAGTAGTACCATAGAAAGAATGGCATGATATTTTAAATGATTCATTTTTTCCTTAAAAATAATAATGTAAAATATAGGTGTTTAGTGGGAACCATATATGTTGTATCATATTAAAAATGATTAAAAGTAAGTTCCTAAGTATCCTGGTCCCATTCTGCAATCCTGATCCTTCAAATTGAATAGGAGTGTGTTTTACAGGGATCTGTGTCGTTCAAGGATGTCACTGTTGACTTCAGCAGAGAGGAGTGGCAGCAGTTGGACCTCGCTCAGAAAAGCCTGTACAGGGATGTGACGCTGGAGAACTATTTCAACTTGCTCTCAGTGGGTAAGCACAGCCCTGCTGGGTATAAGGCTGTACCTAATTGAGAGTATCTTCTTTCTTAGTGGAATTTCTGAAATCTATGGGATTTCTGAGGTATGTGGGACTTCTAAAGACTGCAGGACATCTGAAGTTTTGTCCTTATTTTGTCCTATGTTCTTAATCATCTCTTTTGGGTATTATGAATACACTTCTGTGCCCATGAACTTTTCCGAAAAGTAAATGGAGTGATTCATTGTATGGCCTCTGAAACCAAGTCTTCTATCGTTAATAGGGTGTCAAGTTCCCAAACCAGAAATCGTTTTCCACTTGGAGCACGGAGAAGAGCCGTGTCTGTTGGATGGTGAAATCTCAAGTCAGAGCTGTCTAGGTGAGTAGGGGATCAGGAGCATGGGGACAGTATGACTGAACTGCAGCTCTACTGGCAGAGGCTGGCAACTTCGAAGTGCTGTTGATAGGACTTTTCTGTAACATTCCAAAATTCTGGAACTGCATGGATAGAGTTGATATTGGCCCGTTGGATACCTAAATGCCTCTCCCCATATCAGTATCTTCTTTCCTTGACCTTTTAGGAGGGTTGTGCTACAATTACTGGTACTTTGGATCTAGGATCCTGCTTTTTGCTTTTTCTCCCTTTCTCTAGCTTTTTTATTCTTTTTACCTCCGTCACATCAAGGTCTTAGATCCGTTTCTTACGCATTCATGTACTCATAAATTTGCCTTTTTAAAAAGTTACCTTTGGTCACACTCCTACTGGTTTCTTTTCGTTTTCTCTCTGTTCCCTTAGTGCTTCAGACTTGTCATCTAAAGGTGGCCTCATTTTATCCTCTCCCATGAGTCTCCTCCAACTTTGACCTTGAGGGTATCACTACCTACATTAGAAGACAGATTTTTGCTGTATATGACATTGGTAATTTTGGTTCTTGACATTTTCATCCTACTTGGCTGGTGTAACACAACACTGAGTTGGTCTTTCTAACTAATTTATTTTGATATTTTACAAAAGTTTTTGTAACTCATGTGCAGGAAATTGAGTTAGAGTCCTCAATTTGTAGTTAATGTCATCATCAGTGTGTTTAACCTTCCTTCTTATTTTATTTCTTTATTGATCCCTTTTAATCCTCACTACTCATACTTAATTTTTACCCTTCCCAGAGGCAACTGCTCTAATATATTTGATATGTTTGCTATCTATCCTTGAATTTGTGGGGTAAAATTTAAATTGTTGGCATTTTTAATTTATGGAAATGGTACTGTGCTATATTTCCTTTTTTTCTGTGTGAGCCTGAAATTGGTTCAGGTTGCAATGTGTTTTTCTAGTTCATTGCTTCTAACTGATGCATAGCGTTCCGCAGATGTATACCGCAGTTTACTCGTCCAGCTTCCTAGCTCCTGCAGACAGTACTGAGTAAATTCTTCATGAACTGTTCTTATAGGAAACGAGGATTTCTCAGGGAGACTAGTGGGTTGCTTCATCCCTGGCTACACTCATACTTTATTTGACTTAAGTTTAACCACATTGTTTCCTAGATTGGATGTATCATTCTGCAATCCCCTCAGTGTACAAAGGGATCAGTTTCTGTACATCCCTGCCCATATTTCTAATAATTTGGCTAATCTAATGGATTTTAATTTTCAATTATTGTTTTAATTTGTGTTTCTCTAGTAACAAAATATTTCCGACATCTTATGATGTCTTTTTTTTCTCCCCCAAAGATTGGCACCTGAGCTAACATCTGTTGCCAGTCTTGTTTTTTTTCTTCTTCTTCTCCCCAAAGCCCCCCAGTACATGGTTATATATTCTAGTTGTAGGTCCTTCTGGCTGTGCTATGTCGGCTGCCACCTCAGCATGGCTTGATGAGCGGTGCCACATCTGCACGCAGGATCTGAACCAGTGAAACCCTGGGCTGCTGAAGTGCAGTGTACAAACTGAACCACTCGGCCACAAGGCCAACCCCTATCATGTATCTTGTAATAGATTCTGACTTCATTTCTGACGTTTGACTGCTGATATCTTCTAAGCTTCACCCCTCTTTCTTCGCCTTCTGCGCCATATCTGGGCAAACTGGTAAGAAAGCTGAGAGGCTCCCTCCCTTGCTGCTGGTGGGAGGTTGCATGGAAATGGTCAGCCTGGCCCCACCCCCAACCACCATAAAAAACCAAGCCAATCTCTTCTTCCTGCCCTCTCAAGCCCCTTTCGGATCTGCTTGGAGCTCTCCCTTAAAAGCTCGTTACTGAGTAGTGAACCTTTTCATATCTTCTCGGTGTGTGTGTTGCATCTCGGTCTTGACATCTGAACCAAATTTGGAATGGAGTCCATTCTTCCTTTGCAGGTGACTTTTGCAAGGCTCTGTCATTTTTATAACCAGCTGAAGTTGGAAGTTGTAATTGGCAGTTAGGGACAGATGTAAGGGATGGAACCCTCCTTAAAGTGGCCCTGGGTTGTGTGGCTTGGCCTGGAACTCTCTGTGTGTCTCACATTGAATCATGCATCTCAATTCCAGCACAAGTTGTGAGTGACACCAGGCTTACAGGAACAAGTCTTACTGTGTCCCTGTTGTTTGTGTGTCTCAAGCAGGCACTGCCCCTGTTATGGACTCTCAGGGAAACTGCTGATACCTTACGCGTGTAAGGGCCCATCAGGTGGCCGCTGGTGGAGGAAGAGCAGTTACAATGCAGATGCCAAGCACAGTTTTGTCATATTCTGCTGTGGTTTTTGACTTTTCCATGTGACTCATCTTCTCAAACAGTTCTTTCTGCTCTTTCTACTAGTATTTCTCTTTCTAGAAATATCTTTTAGATACCTTCCTCCTCTTACTTTCCAGTGATACCACCTAAAACCATGTCTGTATTTTCTCATGCCTGGATTATTCTAACCCTCTTTGGATATGCTGGTCTCTCTTTTTTTTCCCAGTAGTTCATCTTAGATACTGCTGATAGGTTTCATTGCTTAAAACATTGTGTTTATCCTGTCGTAGGTGTATGGAGCAAAACTGAAGTTACTTCCTGTTATCTAACACATGACAAATTCCTCTCTCAGTGGGTTTGTAAGCTACAGAAAGAAAATGCCTCATATTTGCAATTCACATTTGTCTCTGTTTAGTTTCCATAATCACATTTACTTCATTTTAACCTTTTCTTTAATAATCCCCCTGCATCTGACCCTCTGATTGTTTTGTGATTTGTCTGCCTATTCAGATAATATAGGTACTTGTCCTTTGTGCTCAGGTCTCCCTTACTCCTTGAGTTGGCCCTAATGATTACGACACACACTGCTTTTTTCCTTTTCTAATTCTCCAACCCACAGAAGCTCAGAGAAAATTACCATTAAATTATGTAATAACTGAGTCTTTTACCCCTGTTTTTGGTTTTTAATGTTTCTGTTGAGAATGTTTAGTTAAATTAAGTCTTGAATTTATGTGATAGGCAGAGGAGGTTACTTTTTTTTATTTCAGAAGGATTTTAAAAAATTTCTGCTGAGAGCAATTTAAAGGGCCAATAATTGTGGAAAGGGGAAGATAACTGCATGAAATTTTAAAATTTCAGCCTCTGTGCGTTGAGCATTTATTCTGGTGCAGGTCTGTGCCAGTTAAGCATGAACAGGAGTGGCTCAGGATATCTAGTCTTTGTTTGCCTTTTTTAATTTAAAAGAAAAGAAAGCCTCTGTAGAGTTATGTTGAGATTTGGGATTTGTTTTTAGAGCATAAAACCGTAAATGATCTGTGAACAACAACGAATGTTGCTTAGGAACAGAGGATCAGAGAAAGGAAGCTTAGTGGGGAAAAGGAAAAAGAATATATGTTTGGATTCAGTAGTAAAATATCCTGTAGTGACCAGTGGAAAGACAGCTTACATATACATGTTTTATTGGCCTGAATTATGATTCTCTATTTTATTGAATGAGTGAATCATTGGGGACAGAAATTATGTGTAATTAAACTTTTTAACAGCGCATTTTTTTACATTGAACGTTGTTGGTAGTAATGTAAATGTTGTCAGACATAGCAATGGGTTTGTAAGCTAAAGAAAGTGAAAGCTTGTGAAAGGTCAAAATCCATGTTTAGGAATCCAGTATTAGATGTCCTCAGGATGAATGAAAAGCCATTAATATGTGTGAGTAAAAATGTAATATAGCAGTTAAAGAATGTGTATGGGGACATGACGAGGCTCTGGAGAGAATAAAATGGATGTGAGGTTAGACTGTCTGTGTTCAAGAACTCTAGTAGAATAAGAGAGTTGTATAATTTTTGTGTGTGTGAGGAAGATTTGCCCTGAGCTAACATCTGTGCCAGTCTTCCTCTGCTTTGTACATGGGATGCTTCCACAGCATGGCTGATGAGTGGAGTAGGTCCTCACCCAGGATCTGGGCCCACGAACCCCAGGCCGCTGAAGTGGAGTGTGCAGTACTTTAACCACACGGCCATAAGTCCAGCCCTGTATAATCTATTTATTATGTAAATATTTACTGAGAATCTACTATATCTTATACACTATTCCAGAATATGGAACATTAATGATTCTTACTCTGGGCAAGAATAGTATCTTGGAGTAAAGCCAAACTCCTGTCACTAAGAGACCCTGAGAAACCATGACTTAGGGAACATAAACACTGACCCATCACATGATAGTTATAAGGTGAGTGGTCCAGGTCTGCCAGGCAACTCTGCTTCCAACGGCTATTCAGTGATGTTACTAGAAAGTCATTGCACCATCAACCCCTGGAGCAGGGGTTGGCAAACATTTTCTGTGAAGGCCAAGAGGTAAATATTTTAGGCTTTGTGAGCTATATGGTTGCTGTCATAGCTGCACAGTTCTGCTGTTGTGGCCTTACAGCAGCTGTAGACAGTATGTCAATGAATGAGTGTGGCTGTATTCCAGTAAAAACTTTATGGACATAGAAATTTGAATTTTGTATAATGTTCATGTGTCATGAAGTATTATCATTCTTTTGATTGTTTTCATCCATTCAAAAATTTAAAACCTATTCTTTGCTTTTGGGTACGGGCCTGGATTTAGCCTGAGGGCCATAGTTTTCTGACCTCTGCCTAGGGCATTGCCAGCTGCGTAGAGCTAGGTGCTGCAAGTCTGGAATATAGCAGTGATAAGAGCAGAGGGTTGTGGGAGACACATACACTTCCTTAAGACATTGGCCTTGTGACAACAAATAGGATTTTTACTCCCATTTGATTGGTGAGAACTGAATTACTTGGCTTCACCTAGTGTCAAATGAGGCTGGACAGATCTGTTGTTCTGAGGCAGCCATATGCTTGGCCACAAGCTTAATACTGCTGAAGGAAGGGGACAGATTTTGATGGACAACTTTCAGTCTCTGCTTCAGATGGCTGACCCTTTCTGGTCTTAGATGCTTCCTATTAGATGCATGTGTCTGTGCACCCCAACCAGGGATAAAGAATTCAGTCATAGACATCCACTTACTGTTTGGCTAAGTCAGGGTGACTGAGGCTACAACAGTTTTACTATACAGAGATAAGTTTGTATTTAGGGCACAGTGGTTAATAAGGAAAAGAGAAAGCAGGGAGATTAGTGAGGATTTATATGTGAAGGGTAATAAGAATCTAGACTCAGAAATACTTGTTTTAAGCCACAAGTTTGTCACTTTGTCCTTCCGGCACCTTACTGTGTAGTTCTGCTACATACGTAGACCTGATCTGCTTCAGTTTGAGTCTTGTCTTCCCCAATTACTGAACATTTGATTTTGGCAAATTACTTAACTCTTCTGTGGTTCAATTTCCTCATCTGTAAAATCGGGACAATAATAATACCAACAGCAAAGGGTTGTGATGTTTAAATGAATTAAGATAGAATTTAGAACAATGCCTGGCACATCTAAATGCTACTGTTTATCATATGGTAAATGTAACATAAGTGTTCATTTTATTACTATATATTATTACATATAAATAGATTATTACACTTATATGTTTACATATTTATATATATTTGTTATTTATATTTATATAGAGCCTCTCCTATTTTTCCATGTTCACCCTGAATCAGCTCTATGTATCATTCCTTCTGTATTCTGTTAACTGTTCTTAATATGTTTTATTTTTTCTTTCTGTTTTAGGTGGGAATATTGGCTTCAAAACTTCATTACAGGGAATGTCTGAAGAAGTTTCAGTCCAGTTTGAGAGAATTAATCTCTTCACAAGAGATGACCCATATTCCATTTTAGAAGAATTGTGGCAAGGTGATGAACAGACAAGGAGATATGAGGGAAACCAGAACAAACATTTAAGTCATGTCACCTTCATCAACAAGGAAACACTAACTAATGGGAGGGACTGTGAGTATAAGGACCTTGGGAAAATAGTTCCTGTAAACACACACCTTGCTCCTTCAAGAAAAAGACTCTGTAGCCATGACTCTTTTGGAAAGAGTTTGAAGCCTATTGTAAGCTCATGTAATTATAATGAAAACAATGCGACAGAAAATCTTGATGAGATTGTGGGATATAGTAATATTTTCACTCATATGAATTCTCATACAGAAATGAATGCTTGTGAATGTAATCAATGTAAGAAACTTCTGAGTCATAAGCAGGCTCTCATTCAACATCAAAAAGTTCATACTGGGGAGAACCTCTATTTATTTTCTGATTGTATAAAAATTTTCACCCAGAAGTCACACTTCTTTGCACTTCAAAGTATTTACACTGAAGAGAAACAGCTTGATTGCAGCAAATGTGAGACAGTCTTCACCCAGAAGTCCCAACTTCCTGTACCTCAGAAGGTTTATACAGGAGAGAAACCCTATATATGCGCTAAATATGAGAAGGACTTTTCCCTCAGGTCAAACCGTGAGAAAACTCATACTGAGGAGAATCACTATAAATGCAATAAATATGGAAAAGGTTTTATCCAGAAGTCAGATCTGTTTAGCTACCAGGGAATTCATACTGGAGAAAAACCCTATGAATACAGTGAATGTGGGGAAAACATCTCACAGAATTCAAACCTCAATGTACATAAAAAAAAAATTCATACTGGAGAGAAGCATTTTGGATGTACTGAATGTGGAAAAGCCTTCACAAGGAAATCAACACTAATTATGCATCAGAAAATTCATACAGGAGAAAAACCCTATGTATGCACCGAATGTGGAAAAGCCTTTATCCGGAAGTCACATTTTATTACACATGAGAGAATTCATACTGGAGAGAAACCTTATGAATGCAGTGACTGTGGGAAGTGCTTTATAAAGAAGTCACAACTCCATGTGCATCAGCGAATTCACACAGGAGAGAATCCTTTCATATGTTCAGAATGTGGCAAGGTCTTCACTCACAAGACGAATCTCATTATACACCAGAAAATTCATACTGGAGAGAGACCCTATATATGTACTGAATGTGGGAAGGCCTTTACTGACAGGTCAAATCTCATTAAACACCAAAAAATCCATACTGGAGAGAAACCCTATAAATGCAGTGACTGTGGAAAATCATTCACCTGGAAGTCACGGCTGAGGATACATCAAAAATGTCATACTGGAGAGAGACATTATGAATGCAGTGAATGTGGGAAAGCATTCATTCAGAAGTCAACACTAAGTATGCACCAGAGAATTCATAGAGGAGAAAAGCCCTATGTTTGCACTGAATGTGGGAAGGCCTTCTTCCACAAGTCACATTTTATTACACATGAGAGAATTCATACTGGAGAGAAACCTTATGAATGCAGTGATTGTGGGAAATCCTTCACTAAGAAATCCCAGCTCCATGTACATCAGCAAATTCACACAGGAGAAAAACCCTACAGATGTGCTGAATGTGGAAAGGCTTTCACTGACAGATCAAATCTCTTTACACACCAGAAAATTCATACTGGAGAGAAACCCTATAAATGTAGTGACTGTGGAAAAGCCTTCACTCGGAAGTCAGGCCTCCATATACATCAGCAGTCTCATACTGGAGAAAGACATTATGAGTGCAGTGAATGTGGGAAAGCCTTTGCAAGAAAATCAACACTAATTATGCATCAGAGAATTCATACAGGGGAGAAACCCTACATTTGTACTGAATGTGGAAAGTCCTTCATCCAGAAATCACACTTAAATCGACATCGGAGAATTCATACTGGGGAGAAACCATATGAATGCAGTCACTGTGGGAAGGCCTTCATTAAGAAGTCACAACTTCATGAGCATCATCGAATTCACACAGGAGAGAAACCATATATATGTGCAGAATGTGGAAAGGCCTTCACCATCAGATCAAACCTTATAAAACACCAGAAAATTCATACTAAACAGAAACACTATAAATCCACTGACTTTAGGAAAGCTTTAAACTGGAAGCCACAACTCAGTATACATCAGAAATCTGATACTGGGGAAGCTGAGTGCCCAGTGCCATGATCATGGTATGGAGATACAAAGTTTTGAGAGGCTACAGCTTGACCAAGAAGCAGGAGGTAACCAAAGCCAACTTTCCTCTATCTAGTCAGAAGTATGAATACCTGGATCACACAGCCAATGTCCAGTTACACATATGGAGAGATACTTTGCAGAGAGTCTTTAAGCACCGTATGATGGCCGTGGTTGCTTACTTGACAGATACTAGGGTCATCAAGCCCCTGAAAATAGGAGTAAATATGCAAGGAGATGCCTTGGCAATCTTTCTGGCTTCATGTTTTGGATAAGCAGCTTTATAAATTTAGGCCTGTTGAGTTTTTCATGCCCTGGGTAGCAAAAATATTCACTATTGACCAAAGGAATTTCTTAATGAGTAGAGTGCTAAGAAAATTTTTTGTTGTCTAGGCACCCTATGGACACTGAAATCAAGGAAAAAGTATAGACAATTCAGGTCTATAATGAAGAGAAGCCAGAAGTTTTTGTGAAAATTGACATTAAAGACACAAAGAAAGGACTCTTTTTTTTTCTTTTCTTTGGGAAGTCACTATTATTTATTGTTTATAGTATTTATTAGCATGTGGAAACTTGGATTAAAAAATTTTAAATTTACAGTTTGACTCAGATTGGCAAATCAGGTCTGCAGGCTGACCTCAACATTCACAGACATCTTTAGGTAACCAGTATGTTCCTTCTTTTATTAATTCTCTGCCATGGCAGCAAGTAACTTCCACCCAAGAGGTAGAAAGTGCTCCCAGCCTGTTTCCCAAAAATGATCGATGATGTAAGGCAGTAGCCCAGTGGACTAGTTGTCACCTTAGAACTGGCCCTGAGATCCTGGAACTTAGCTACAGATTACAAATCTAGATATCAGCACTGGAGTCTCGGCCTGGTCCACAGAAACCTAGCTATTTACTGATTTCTCTTTGAAAAAGAGACAAGTTATGAAAATGGGTTTCAAAACCTAGAATTCTTTCCTTCCAATTTTGTTAATACATTCTCTTCATATTCATTACGTGGTAGGTTATTATGGGACACAGTTGTCTTGCATTTGAGCTTGTTTTCTTAGAAGACAGTTGCACATTTGGAAGAGTACCCCTCCCATGCACTCCCAGTCTGCAAATTAATCTTATTTAATTGTGTTCTCAAATCCTCTATATTCTTATGGACTATTCTGCCTTTTATTCTATCAGATCCTGAAAGAAGTGTGTTATAATCTTCCAGGATAATTGTGAATTTGTCTCCTTTAGATCTACCAATTTTTGCTTTATATATTTTGAGTCTTTGTTTTTACATACATTCAAATTTAAAATTTTTATACTCTTCCTGGTTAATTGAAACTTAAACATTATGAAATGTCCCTTTTTATATCTAGTGATGCTTTTTGTCTTAAAATTTACTGTGTCAGCTGTTAATACAATATGCATACTTTACTTACTAAAGGCTAATATAAATTAGTACTCACCCCACTTCCTGGACAAGCTGAGGAGTTACAGCATTGTCTGTTTATTTACTTCTGGACGTGTATGGTATTGATGCCGTGCATTTGAATTCTGTGTGTAGTCAATGTGGCCATTGTTTCAGTCAATTTTTATTTAGATTAGTCCACACATTTATGCTTTTCATTGCTTTTTTATTCCTTCTTGTCCTTTAGGTTTCCCTCTAGAATCATTTTCCTTCTGACTGAAGAACCTTTGAGTATTTCTTTTAGTATGTTTTTGCTAGTGACAAATTCTGGTTTTTTTTAATTTGTTGGAAAATGTCTTTATTTTGCCTTCATTTTTGAAGGATATTTTTACTGAATATAGAATTCTAAGTTGGCAGTTGTTTTCTATTAGTATTTTGAAGATATTTTGTTATGGTTTGTCTTCCATTGTTGTGTTGAAAAGTAAGCTTTCAGTTTAATTCTCTTTGAAGGTAATGTGTTTTCCCCTCCCTTCTTTTCTCTCACTCCTTTAAAACTTATGCCTTTATCTTATGCTGGCAGCAGTTGCAGAATGATATGTGTAGGTGTGATTTTGTATGTATATAGCCTGTTTGGGGTTTGCAGTGTTTTTAAAAAATCTATAGCGTAGTGGGTTTTTTTTTTTTTTCACATTTTGGGAAACTTCTAGCTATTATCTATTCAAATTATGGGTCTACTTCATTATCTTCCTCTGGTTCTAGAGAAAGCCCCATTATCTAGATCCCCTGGTGACCTTTTTCTATTGGTAGTTGTTTCTCTTGGGTTTTGGTGATGTCTTCCCATTTATCTGGTGATTTAAAATCAAGTAGCAGACACTATATATAAAAAAAATTGTAGAGATAATTAGATTGCCTGGATGATATCTTCCAGAGAGGATTTACCTTTCCTTCTAACAGGTGACTAGGCCAGGAACACTGGCAATCCCTGATTACCAGTCCCTGTGAAGGTCTGTCTATATTTTTTCACTCTTATTCCTAGAGGATACCCTTAAGACTTAGGACTTTGGGAGACTTATCAGGCCCCTGCTCCTTGGAAAGACCTTAATTCTAGTACTTTTCTCTTTAGTCCCATAAATTTGTCAAAAACTGTCTTAAGCCTCTCTTGCCCAGTATTTGCTTTAAGAATTAACAAACACCTCTTCTTAGTAAATTGTTCCAAATTCCAGAGGTTAAGTCTCATGTCTAATCTTATTCCTGCAGTTTCTTACTTCCCTGGTAGTTCTTTAGTGCCATCCCAAAATTACATGTATTTAGTAGTTTCTTCCACGTTTTTTAGTTCTCAGGTGAGTGCTGGTCTGTACCACCCACCCACTTTGCCATTAGCAGAAGTTTTCAAATCAATGAGATATTTAAGATATTTAATAATTCTTATTTAAGGAGTATGGAGTCCAGAAATACATACTTTTTAATTACCAAAACTCTCCAAACTAAAAAATGAAAATGCTTTGCAACAAGTTTATTCCCAGTTTTCGTTGCTAAAAGTTAAAGACATTTACTCTTTTGTTAAAGACTTTATAAACTTTGATACATAAGAGAAAATTACATCTGGTGGTGTCAAATTTTATTATGGTAGCTGCCAGACTTTAACACCTGGAAGAGATTGACTTAGAGCCTCTCAAATTTCTTCTTTAATAGTATGTTTTTTCCTTTGGATAATAATAGAAAATTAAGTTAATGAAGACTAGTTTAAGGACCCAGGAGTTTGAAAGTAAGAATTTCAAAGATTAATTTAGTAGGATTACTGACGTAGTGATTCTCAACCTTTTTATTCTCAGGCACATTTTAAAAAATATAATTCTGCATTATCAAGCCAAAAAAGAAAAAGACAAAAGAGACATTTTACCTTTTGTCAACACAGTATTAATCTCTAGGAGAAAGGCAGACTTTCTTTTGTGGGCCTCAATGTATCTTAAGGTGTACCTGGGAATTGATTGAGGAGTGGATGTTGGAAAATTATGAGTGGTATGGAAGAGCTCAACCTTAATTATGTTGAACTCTATGGTCAGTATAGATTGGATGCATGTGGGGTGTAGACTTTACTTGGGAAAGTGTTGTGAATTAGCTGTATCTTTTTATGACAGTGCTGTAATACAGTTCATTTGTACTTAGAGCAAAACTGTTTTAAAAGTTTTACAATCTAGAGCCAACGCCAATGGCCTAGTTGTTAGAGTTCAGCGTGCTCCACTCTGGCGGTCCAGGTTTCATTCCCAGCGCAGAATCACACCACTCGTCTGTCAGCCATGCTGTGGTGGCGGCTCACACAGAAGTAGGACTTACAACTAGAATGTACAACTATCTACTGGGGCTTTGAGGGGAAGAGAGAGTATTACAATCTAAATTTTTAAATAAAAAATGCACTTTAAATTTTTCAAAAAGGAATTTCATTCTAAGAATTCAGTAAATCGAAGAAAACTTTCACTCAAACCAACATTTAATTATACATTAGATAATTCATAGGGGAGAGTAATTTCCTGTCTTAGTAAATGTAGGTAGGGCTTCATTCACAAATCGTGCTCTATTACATAGCCTAGAATTCATGCTGGAGAGAAATCTTATGAATACTATAACTGTAGAAAAACATCCACTGAAGTCAACTCCCTGAACATCAGCAAATTCACACATGAGAGAAATAACAGGTCAAATCTTATACTCCAGGAACTCATTTTGGAGATAAAAACCTGTAAAAGAAGTGACTGGAAACCCTTCACCTGGAAGTTACCGGGAACTTTCTGCTAGAAGGAGACAAAATAAATGCACTTGATGTGAGAATAGCTTCATTCAGAAATCAGTTTTCAGTATTCTTCAGTATTTATACATGAGTGAAATTGTGTATTTCCTGAAAGTGAGAAATTCTCACACAAGTCAGAACCAATTATAAATTACTCATGTTACAAAGAAGCCCTATGATTATTGTATATTGTATAGTATATTTTGAATGTCAAAAACTCTGTGTCCATGAGTTACACCTTACTTGACAGATAAAAATTGAGAATAAGTCTTCTAAGAATACATCATTTTCTTAAAATGTCATAAAATTCACTCTGGGAGGGAACTGTAAGTTTGATACAGTGAGAAAGTCTTCCTGTAGAAGCAAATTCCACAAGAAATATAATTCATGTTGTTATTTGGTTTAATTGTATGCCCATGAGTCTAGAATCAGTGGGGACAAATAGACCAGTCCAACAATTACCTTTCTTTTAATTAAATATATATTTAAACATACACACGTGCATACACATAAAACTTTGTTCAGTCAGGCGCTGCAGAACAATGTTTTGGTCAGTGACTGACTGCATATACCAATGGTGGTCCTGTATAGCCTAGGTGTGTAGTAGGCTATACCATCTAGGTTTGTCTGAGTACACTCTACAATGTTTGCACAATCACAAGGACAGAATCGCCAAATGACACATTTCTTGGAATGTATCCCCGTCATTCAGTAATGCATGAATGTATAAATGTGACTTTTATAATATATTTTACCTCTTGAATTTTGTACTTTCTCCATTCTCATAGCACCTCCAGCTAGAGCAACAGTCTGTCAACGGACAAGCAATGCTAATCAACTTCATATTTTTATTTTTACTCACAATCACGTACAGACACATTAATATGTTATCTGTGTTCACATATGACTATGTTTTTATGGTCTTAAAATGAGATTATATACACTTTTTTTGCATCTTTTGTGCTCAACAATAACTAGGTGAAAAAGAGTCTATGGTGTAGACGTGCCATAATTTGTTCAAACACTTTGCCATTGTTCATTCACATTTTCTCAGTAGGAAAAATGGTCTGATAACCATCCTCAAGAGGTGGCGTAACGTGATGGGTTAATGGACAGACATGAGTTTCTTTTACCTACTAGAGCCTTTTTTTTTTTTTTTTTTTGCCCCTGTAACGTAATTCTGGCAGTGAGATTCATGGATTGAGTTGTATTTTTTTATTTTCATGGAAGTTGCCAGATTTCTTTGAAATGGGACTGTAGTGTTTCATCTTTCCAGCATTAGTGTATTAGTGTACCCCTGCCTCTCTACTAAAAGTAGCTGTTACTCTTTAACCTTGAGAAGTTTTATGATCTCAAACTGATAACTAAGTTTATTTTAATTTACCTGTTAACTTGCCTCTTTAAATGTTTCTTGGACATTTGATTTGCTGTTCTGTAGGTTGCGTTTATAAACCATTTATTCATACATTTTTCTTTTTGGATTGCTTGTCTTGTCAATTTTTAACAGCTTTAATATGTTAAAGGTAGTAACTCCTTTGAAAAAAAAACCAACCATTGCTTATTTGTTGACTTTGTGTATGCTATTTTTCCGTTTGCATAATTTTATTTTTTACATGTTTAAATATGTCAGTCTATTCTTTTACAGTTTCTGAATTTCTAGTCTTATTTAAGCTTCACATAAGATTTTTAAGTGGGGTTTTTTTTTTTAGTATATTTTGTAAATATTTTGGGAAATTGATTCATTTTTTTCTTGGACGTGGATAGCCACTTTCACAGTTGTAGATACTGTTGGTATGCGAGCACTTCCAGTACTCCTCTCTCACTACTTACTCACTTCATTAGCGTCTTTTGAAGCTGGTAGTGGTCAAGTGACCTGACTCAGGTCAAGAGAAGCAAAACACTGGTAAATGTGTTCTGACAAAACCTTTGCTTTCCTAAGAAAAAGGACAGACTTAGCTGCTGCCGTCAATTTACCCTTCCTCCTGCCTTGTACATGATGTCTGGGGGAGTGACAACCTCTCAACCACAGGGGAAAAGTCAAAAGAATCAGAGACACTGGTCCTGACAGTATTTAGTCAACACTAGCAGCAGGTTAACTCCAGACTTCTGCTATGTCATAAAAATAAACGTGTTTTGCATAAGCCATTCTATTCTAGGTTTCTCTTGCACCTGAAAGTATGCCTACTTTTATTCAGGCATCAATATTTATAAAGTAATCCATCTTTTCTCTATTAAAATAAGTAGAAAAGACTTTTTTAAACCCCTGTAAACTAGACACTCCACACAAACCTAAGTAAGGTAGAGAGAGAATAAAATCACACATTTGTAATAAGTAAAAAGAACCACAGATACGAGATCAATTAATAGGATCAGAAGAGATCATTACCTAGAGTAAATGAATGATTTTCCAGCAAGATATAATTGATCAAAATTTAAAATGATGAAAAACTGAAAAAAGTCAATAACCATAAAAGACGCTGTAAATGTTACAGAGCAACCATTTAAAATGTACCAGGACCATAGGAAAAGATTCCTTAGATAGGACACATAAATAATGAAGTATAAAATTTAAAAATGATAAATTTAACTTCTCAAAATTAAAAACTCATTCTTTGAAAGGCATTGTTAAAAAAATGAAAAGCGAAGACAGAATGTGGGAGAATATTTCCAATAGATATCTCACAAAAGATTCGTATTCTGAAAATATAAAGAAATTTACAACCCAATTGTAAGAAGGCGAATAACCCAATAAAAAATGGCGACAAATTCAAACAGACATCATGAAAGAAGATATGAAATGGCGACTAAGGACAAGAAAGGATTTTCAACATTGGGCCATCAGGGAACTACAAATTAAAATAATAATGAGACACATCTATACCCTCATTAAAATGACTGTAATTTAAATGATTGACAGCACCCAGTGTTGGAAGCTGTGGAGCAACTAGAACTCATACATGGTGAGTAGGAATATAAAATGACACAAGCACTTTGGAAAATAGTTTGGCAAACTTTTAAACAGTTAAACACACAGCTGCCATACAACCCAGTCATTCCACTTCCATTTTTAATCTAAGAGAAATGAAAACATGTCCATACAAAGACTTGTACATGAATGTTGATAGCAGCTTTATTCATAATAGCCTCAAACTGGAAGCAGTTCGCATGTCTGTCATCAAGTGAATAGATTACCAAAATGTGGTATATCCATAAATGAATACTACAGTACTATTCAGCAATAAAAGGAATGGACTAGTGACACATTACAACATAGATGAATTTCAGTCATTTTAAGTACAAGAAGCAAGACATGAAAGAGTATGACATACTGAATGAATGCATTTATATGAAATTCTAGAAATGCGAACTAATAAATAGTGAAATGACAAAAATCAGATCAGTGGTTACCTGGGGCTAAGGGCAGAGGGAGGGATGGCCCCAAAGGGGTACAAGAAATCTTGAGGATGGTGTTGTGTTGATTTTTTATTGTGTTGTATTTTTATTGTGTTGATTTCACAGATGTGCACAATTATCAAAATGCATTGAACACAATGGATGCAGTTAATTGTATGTAAATTTTATCAATAAAGCTGATTATAAAAAATAACATGAAAAGATGGATTCACATCTGATTTTAGTTCATGTCTAGTTCAAATTATTCCAAGTCCTATAGAAAGAGTATTTCCCAATACATTTTGTTATTTCTTCACATTGGTCCATTGAAATTTTAAAACATGCCATCACTATAAGACCATCATGGTGGTCTAGTGGTGAAGACTCGGTGGCCTCACCACAGTGGTCCAGGTTCATTTCCCACTCAGGGAACCACACCACCCATCGGTCATGTGGCATACTGTAGCAGCTCCCTATTGCTGTGATGCTGAAAGCTATGCCACTGGTATTTCAAATACCAGCAGAGTCACCCATGGTGGACAGATTTCAGTCAAGCTTCCAGACTATGACAAACTAGGAAGAAGGACCTGGCCACCCACTTCTGTTAAAATTGGCCGTGAAAACACAATGAATAGCAGTGGAGCACTGTCTGATATAGCGCCAGAAGGTGAGGGGATGGCGCAGAAAGTCCTGTGGGGTTCACCCTGCTGTCCACAGGGTCACTATGAGTCGGAATTGACTGAAGGGCACTAACAACAACAAATAAGACCATGGTAGTAAATACAATAGAAAAATAAGGAATTATTGACTTGTGTCACGTAGGACCACAGATGCAAAAATCCTAAACATTTTAGCACATATAGTCTTGCAGTATATAAAATTAAAATTAGTAATGATTTTAATTTTAAAATACAAGAGTGATGGAATGTCAAGAAACTAGAATAACTACTTTAAAAAAGAAAAGCAATATGTTTATATCAATATTTACTGAAAAGTGTTTGATTAATTCAGGATTCTTTACTAACAAAATACCCATGGTCGAACACTACTTAAATATAATTATTTCTCTAATAGCAACAACAAATATTTTAAATGGAAATAAATAGAGGAATCAAAATCAGTAGTTAGGATTTTCCACTAGTACCATTATTATTTAACAGTATTAGAAAATATGGCATATGAAATAAGACGAGAAAATGCAAGTATTGATATAAACATTGGAAACAAAGTGTTAAGAATAGATTTCAGTGTCAGGAGGGTTTAAAACAACAGACATGTCATTTAATTCTGTGAGAAAATACAGTTCATCTTTTGCCAAATTTTTTCTGAGTCTGATATCTGAAAACGGTAACAATGTATACATATTTTAATATGAATGTGGTAGAGTTTTTTGTGTTTAGAAGCCATTTTTTAATTCCTTATACAGTGAACTGCCTGCCCATTTCCTTTGCCCATTGTTTTATTGTTTCTTTGTTGATTTCATATATTTAGGAAATGATCCCTTTATCATATACCTTGCACATGTTTCTTACCAATCTGTCATTTCTCTATTGATTTTGCTTGTGATATATTCAGCTATGCGTTTTTTCTTTTAAATGTTTATTTTGACATAATTTCAGACTTAAAGAAAATTTGAAAGAACATCACCAAATTCCCGTATATTCTTTACTCAGATTCCCCAAATGTTAACTTTTAACTACATTTATTTCAACTCTCTACCCATTAGTATATGCATACATGCATGCACACACGCCTCACTGTTTTGGGAACATTTAAGAATTAATCGCAGACGTAATTCTTTGTCTCCAATTTTTCCATTTGTGTTTCCTAAGAACATAGGAAATTCTCTTAAATAACCACAGCACAATTACCGAAACAGCAATTAATATTGATTCAGTGCTATTACCTAATCCACAGACCTTACTCACATTTTGCCACTTGTTCAGATAACGTACTTTATAAATCCAAGATCATGTATTACACTCAGTTATCATGTCTTTAGTGTCCTTTAATCCACAACAGCTCCTCAGTCTTTTTATGTCCCTCGCGACGTTTTTCACAAAGAGTATAGAGCAGTTATTTTGTAGAATGCCTCTCAAATTGTTTTTATCTGATGTTTCCTCATGATTAGATTCAGGTAATTTTCTTTCAAGAATACCATAGAAATGATTCTGTATTCTAAGTTCATCATATTAAGATGCATGAGATACTGATTTACTTCATTACTGGCTATATATTAGCATTGATCACTCGTTAAGGGTGGTGTCTGCCAGGTTGTCCCCTGTAAAGTTTCTGTTTTCCTCTAATATTATAAGTTCCTTGGGGGTGGAGATTCTTTGGGACTGTGTAAATATCCTTTAACTCCTCAAAGATTCATCCACTACGCTTAGCATTTACTGATGCTTCTTGCCTGAATCAATTATTATTCTGATGGCTGCAAAATGATAACTTTCTAATTCCATATTTCTCATAATATATTAGAGGATTTTCTATTTTTTAAAATTCATATTTTATTTTTCCAGCTTTATTGAGACATAACTGACATATAACATTGCATAAGTTTAAGGTGGACAATGTGATGATTTGATACACGTATATATTGTGAAATGATTACTACAATAAGGTTAATTACATCTATTATCTCACATAATTACCTTTTTTTGTGGTGAGAACATTTAAGAGCTACTCTCTTAGCAACTTTCAAGTATGTAATATGGTATTGTTAACTATAGTCTCCATGCTGTACATTAGATCCCCAGAACTTATTCTTACAAGTGGAAGTGGATACTCTTTGACCAAATCTCCCCATTTCCCTGCCCCAACCCCTGGCAACCACCGCTGTGCTCTCTGTTTCTATGAGTTCAGCTTTATTAGATTCCACATATAAATGAGATCATACAGCATTTGTCTTTCTCTGCCTGGCTTATTTCACTTAGGATAATGCTCTAAAGTTCCATCTATGTTGCCACAAATGGCAGGATTTCCCTCTTTTTTATTTGTGAATAATATTCCTGTGTGTGTGTGTGTGTGTGTGTGTGTGTGTGTGATGTTTTCTCTATCATTGATCTATTGATGAACACTTAGATTGTTTCCCTGTCTTAGTTATTGTGAAAATGCTGCAATGAACATGCGAGTGCAGATATCTCTTTGAGATACTGATTGCATTTACTTTGGATATACACCCAAAAGTGAAATTGTTGGGTTGTATAATAGTTGTATTTTTAATTTTTTGAGGAAGCTCCAAACTGTTTTCCATAGTTGCTGTACCAATTTACATTCCCACAAACAGTGCATGAGGGTTTCCTTTTCTCCATATCCTTGCCAACACTTATCTCCTGTTTTTTTCTTTCTTTTTTTTTTTTTTTTTATAATAGCCATTCTAACAGGTGGGAGATGATATCTTGTGGTATCAGTTTGCATTTCCCTGATGATAAGTGATGTTGATCATCTTTTCATGTAATTATTGTCCATTTGTTTGTCTTCTTTGGACAAATATCTTTCAGAACCTCTGTCCATTTTTTAATATAATTGTTTTTCTGCTACTGAAATGTATGCCTTCTTTATGTAATTTGGCTATTAATTCCTTATTGGGTATATGACTTGCAAATATTTTCTCCCATTCTGTAGGTTGCCTTTTCATTTTGTTGATTCTTTTTCTGTGCAGAAGCTTTTTAGTTTGATGTAGTCCCACTTGTTGAGTTTTGCTTTTGTTGCTTGTGCTTTTGGTGTCATATTAAAAAAATCATTGTCAAGACCTGTGGCAAGGGGCTTCTTCTCTCTCTTCTATGAATTCTATGGTGTCAGGTTTTATGTTTAGTCTTTAGTCCATTTTGAGTTAATTCTTGTGAATGGCTTGAGGGAGTGGTCCAACTTTATTTTTCAGTATGTGGTTATCCAGTTTTCCCAACACCATTTGCTGAAGACTATCCTTTGCCCAGTAAATATTATTGACTCCTTTATCACATATTATTTTACCGAATACGCATGGGCATTTATTTCCAAGCTCTCAATTCTGTTCCATTGATCTATGTGTCTGTTTTGATGCCAATGCCATAATGTTCTGATTACTATAGCTTTGTACTATAGTTTGAAATCAGGGAGCATGCTGCCTCCAGCTTTGTTCTTTCTCAAGATTGCTTTGGCTATTCAGGATCTTTTATGGTTCCTTCACAAAAGGGGAAAAGGTTGAAAGAGAAAAAGCCTTCAACCTTTCACCATCGAGTAAGATGTTAGCTCTGTGCTTGTCATATATGGCCTTGATTTTGCTGACATACATTCCTTCTATACCCAATTTGTTGAGACTCTATCATCAAAGGATGTTAAATTTTTCAAATGCTTTTTCTGCATCTATTGAGAGGATTATATGGTTTTTATCTTTTGTTCTACTAATGTAGTGTATTACATTTATTGATTCTCATATGATGAACCATCCTTGCATCCCAGGGATAAATCCCACTTGATCATGGTGAATGATCCTTTCAATGTGTTGTTGAATTCAGTTTGCTAATATTTTTATAAGAATTTTTTCATCTGTATTCATCAGGGACATTGGTCTTTAGTTTTCTTGTCATGTCTTTATAAGACTTTTGTGTTAGGGTAATGTTGGCCTCATAAAATGACTTTGAGGGTGTTCTCTTCCTATTCTATTTTTTGGATGACTTTGAGAAGGATTGGCATTAATTCTTCCTTAAATGTTTGTTGTGATTCACTAGTGAAACCATCTGGTCCTTGGCTTTTCTTTGTTAGGAGGTTTTTGATTACTGCTTCAATCTCCTTAATAACAAACTGTATTAGTTTGTTCAGATTTTCTATTTCTTGATGATTCAGTCTTGATAAATTGTATGATTCTAGAAATTTTCCATGTCTTCTAGGTTATTCGATTTGTTGATGTATAATTGTTATAGTAACCACTTATAATCCTGTGTATTTCTTTGGTGTCAGTTGTAATGTCTCCTCTTTCATTTCTGATATTATTTACCTAGTCTTCTCTCTTTTTTCTTTGTTAGTCTAGCTAAAAATCTGTCAACTTTAGGCATCTTTTCAAAAACCAGCTCACAGTTTTGTTGATCTTTTCTTTTGGTTTTCTGGTCTGTATTTCATTTATTTCTGCTCTGATCTTTGTTATTTCCTTCCTTCTGCTAACTTTGGTTTTTGTTATTTCTTTTTCCATTTCCTTGAGGTGTAAAGTTAGGTCATTTATTTGAGATCTTTTTT